TCTCTTTTTTCTCTCTCTCTCTCTCTCTCTCTCTCTCTCTCTCTCTCTCTCTCTCCCTCTCTCCCTTTTCTTTCTTGTGTGTGTGGGATGGACAGAGTTTTGTTATGTTATTCAGGCTGTCCTTGAACTCACTATGCAGCCCAGGCTGGCCCTAAACTCCCAGCGATCCTCCTGCCTCAGCCTCCATAATGCTGGGATTACAGGTGTGCACCACCATGCCCCACAGCCCATACCTCTTTCATAGGAGCTCAGCCTCTGGCTTTGCCTCAACCTTTGCTATAGTCCCAAACAGCATTTCAAAGCAACCCCTCCTACTTCTGAAAACCATCTTCAAACTGTTCCCTAAGATAGTCGCACTTTAGCTGACCTTGTCTCTTAAATTTTTATCCAAATATTTCTCCCTGACTCAGGCTCCAAGGGAGAATGCTCACTCTCAAACTTCTTGGGCTCAGCATCTTTGAAGAAAGTCCTACTCAAAAGGCGCTCAGGTGATATTTTTCCAAGAACACCTCAAGTCCTAATTTAAAGAATATGTACCAAGATGGAAAAGGTTCAATGGAGAAAAATTCTGAACATATGAGATTCATGTTTGGGTGGCGTCTTTGTGGGCACTCCTTTCCTTAGCTTTTTTTTTTTCTTTTTTTTCCCCCCCTTAATTTTGGCATTTGGCGCTGGCCAAAGTCCTCCAGGAAATAGGTAGATCTGGATTTCTTACTTGAGTGCAAGTAGAGGGGAGAAAGCTCCTCGAGTGCTGCCTGGGGTGGGGGGTATCAATTGACCTGCCGAGTTCCCTTGTGAAGTTCCCTTGAAGCCTGGACATGCAGTAGGCACAGCGGGTGTGCTGCTGACCCCTCCTAGCAGGGAAAGTGAGCCACGCTTTGATGCCCCTCTTCTGCATGGCTCCAAGGAGTGTGGCCCTGGAAGTGTCTGTGTGCCTCTCGGAGGCCACCGTTTTCTTGTGTGACTTGGGGAGACTCACATATCCCTAGTTCCCTTCTGCTCCCAGAGTAGAGCAATCTGAGTTTTCTTTGGGGCATTAAAGTTGGAGCATTAACGCTTTTCTGGGGAATTAGGAGATGTGCCTGTTTTCAAGGCCCCTTCTGCACCCCTCCTGGGGAATGCATCCCCTGGAGGTGCTCATCCACCCATGAAATCTTTATCTTCCCATAACATCTTTCATTATTTCCGCAGTGAAATGCACAGTCAATGCACGTTACTGGACAGTGAAGAGAGACTGTGGTGAGAGGTTTCAGGTACAGTGCAAGTCCTTAGGTCGCGCCTGCTGTTGGACCTGTCTCACTCGGGTGGGCTCTAAAGGGCTTGGCTTAGCTCTGGGATAGATTCGCCCCCTGCCCAGTGATCTGGGCCCCACATCATTCTCTCTGTTGTCATCAGCTTTACAAGGACAAGGCTGGCCTTGGACTGACCACACCTGGTCTTGGTTGGAGAGCTTTACCTTTGCCTTCTAAACAGAGGCAGCAAATCCCGCAGCTGGCACCCTTCACTCATTGGGAGGGATGAGAGATAGGACAGACTTACAGCTCAGTGGAACCCCTCGTATCCTAGTGACCAGAGGTCACATTAAGAAAAAACAGTCACTTTGGAGATAGTTCCAGCTGTGATACACACTGGCCAGCTGTGGCCATCTTTATTCAGAGTGGTCCCCGCCTGCGGGTGCTGTGTTGATAAGGATGAGGGAGATGACTTCCAGCAGCTTAACCTGCAGCTGGGATAAACTAATCACTTTGTTCCATTGTCTTTCTTGTATATACTCTCTGGCGTGGATCTCAAGTCTGAGCTCACTGGTGAGAACAGTGATTAATCCTATGTGCCTGACCATTCTGCTTTCCTGCTGTGTCTCTTGAGATGGAAACTTTAGTCCTTCGTCCTGGTCACTTTTCTCATTGCTGAAGCACATTACCCACTATCCACTTAAAAATTTAGTCCACAGTTGGCCAGCTCAGAGGCAGAACAGCATGGCATAGGGGCCTGAGTAGAGGAAAGCTCTTCTTCCTCCTCCTCCTCCTCTTCCTCCTCCCCCTCCTTCTCTTCTTTCCTCCTCCTCTTCCTCCTCCTCCTCCCTCCTCCTCCTTCTGCCTGCTGCTGTTGTTGCTGTTTCCAGTACTGGGAATCGAACTCAAGACTTTGCACTTGCAAGACAGCAGCACAGAGCCACTGAGCTAAAACCCCTGCCCAGATAATTATATTACTGTGGTCAGGAAACAGAAAGAGAGGGAAGGAGCCAGGGAGGGACACATAGCCTTTCTGGGTCACACCTGCCGTGATCCACCTCTTCCAACCAGACCCAACCGCATAACAGCAAGTCAGCTATATCCCACCTATGATCAGTCGCCTGTCAAAAGTCCTGCCTGAGCACAAGAGACTTTTGGGGACAATTCTTGATCTAAGCGATAACACCCTTTAACACCTACCACTGTTTCCTCATGTGGTCAGATCTAGGTTGCTAGTCCTTGGTCTGCAAGCCCAGCTTTGAGGAGGTGACTGTCTTCTCTAAGTGACTGGCAGACTTAGATCTTTTGAGGCTGATCTCGCCAAGATCATCAGCTCCTCTTGGGTTTCTTTGTCGTTGTCATCACTGGTGGCTCTTTTTGTACTGACTGTGTCCTCACATTAACTGAGCACCTAGTTTCTACAGTCTTCTCTTTCCCCAGTACCCTCCACTGCCTTGGGAGATGCTCCTCAGCTCTGAGGAAGTCTGTGAGGATATTCTGCCTTGTTGAGAAAGCAGAGCCCAGGCCTACAGAATCCCACCCAGGGCATCCAGAACTCATCATGTAGATACAAACATGATGTCTGCTTTTTCTTCTTTCTTTTTTGCCCACTCTTTTCTTCCAGGTTTTCCCCCTTTATTTTGTATTCATCATTCCTGTTCCTCACTCCCATTGAATAGCTATTTGTCTTGATGTCACCCTCAGATCTTTCAACTTTTGGAAGTAACTGCATTGTTTCCTGCATGAGTGGTTGGAGTAGGCTCTAAATTCTCAGTGTTCATGTCTAGTAAAGCACTGATTGATTTTATGCCCACCCCAATATTTTTTTTTCTGGAGACAGGGTCTCTCTATGTCGTTTGGACTGGTCTTAAACTCACTATATGGCCTAGGCTGGCTTCAAACTCGTGATGATCCTCCTGCCTCAGCCTCCCAAGTTCTGGAACTAGGGGCATGCGCCACCAACCTGGAAATGCCAAAATTAAAGCTTTTCATAATGTGACTCTAGCCAACCTTTCTTGTTTCAATTCTTAATATCACCTGCCTCCATCCTCCACAAGAGCCACATCTAATTGCCCTCAAACTCCCCCACGAAATTTAATGTGGCATTTTTACTTATGGGGATCCTACAGTCTTCATCTCTCCCTTTGTAACTAGTGAATTCTTACACATCCTTCAGGACTTCACCCCTAGCCTCAGCAGAATAACACCCTCTTATCACTCATTTCCACATTGTGTTAAAGTCTGCATCCTGGAAATTTGAGAAAATCTTTCAGGACCTGTGCGCTGGCAGCCTCTGCAGCAGCAGTGTAGAAAGAGGAAGAGAAAAAGTGCAGTACTGTTATGGGCTGAACTGTGTGCCCCAAATTCCTGTGCTGGAACCCTAACTCTCATGATCTCAGAACGTGATACTTGGAGATCGCTTTTAAAGAGGTGATTAAGTGAAAACAAGGCCCTTATGGCAGGTCCTAACCCAATCTGATTGATGCCCCTATAGAAAAGAAGGAAATCTGGACACACGGGAAGTGCAGGCCTAGAGAAGAGAAACGTGAGGATGCGTGAGAGGGTGGCGATCTGCAAGCTAAGGAGAAAGGCTGCAGAAGGAGAGAAACCAGACCTGCTGACACTTTGATGTTGGATGTTCAGCCCTCAGAACTGTGAGGAAATAAATGTCTGCTATTTAAGTCATATTGTCTGGGCGTTTTGTTTTGTTTGAGCCCGGGT